AAAGCTGGCCACTTTCAGTGAGAGAATTACAGAACTGCTGATTGAAAAGAATGCAGGGCCTGTATTACAATTGGTGCCTTCGGTAAATGGTCACTGGTAATAAAATGGTGGAAGGGAATTTGAAAGTTGAACAAATCAGTGAGCACTTTGATGGCTATGCTAGAAGCACAATTGCAGTCTGTGAATATCTACATGGTGGACAAATGTTGTGTAAAGGGCTCTTTCAGTCTAGCAGAGAAAGGTATGATGCAATTCAATGGCTGCAAATCAAAGCTAGGCAAATTCAGATTGGAAATATGTCATACATGTTTAATGTTGACAGTAATAACCCATTATAACAATTTACCAACGGTCATGATGGATTCTTCATCACTGACAATTTATAAATAAAAATGGGATGTTTTTTCTGAAAGTTACACTCTGTAAACTATTTAGGGGAAGCTCTACGGCCTGTGTTATACAGGAGGTAAGACAAGGTGAGCACACTGGTCTCTTCTGGCCTTGGACTCTTGAATCTAGGGTAGGGTGTGATAGGTGCACTGAGACAGGACAGGAGGAGATAATGTGAGTGGAAAAATGAGCATCAGACAAGTTGGGGAAATGGCACTGGCAATCGGGGCGAGGGGGTAATTGGCAAAACAAACCAAAAAAAAAAAAGAATTCCAATTTTACATTAAGTTAATTTACTTGTATTTTAAACTGAAGGGCAGAAGAACTATCTATATGTCAATTTTAATAAGCATAATAATTTCACAAGCAAAATAATTATAAATAATTAAGTCTCAGAGGGGTAGCCGTGTTAGTCTGTAACTTTAAAAACTGAACCTGAGAGCCTGAAGGAGGGGTGAAGTTGTGACTGGTTGGACAGAGAGTAGAAGCCAAGGGAGTTCATAGGTGAGGGGTAAAGGAGGCTGGCAATGTTTGAGAAAAAAGATGGGCTGGCAGCTAGTGAGGAAACTGAGGGAAGAAGCTGAAGGAGGCTGTTGAACTGGGAGGTAGGGTTGGTGGTGGGAGAAGGGGGACATCAGATGAGGAGCTGTGAGGAGAGTGGGACTGGCTAGACAAGGAGCTTGGGACTGGGAACCTGTGTAGTGGAATTAGGGGTGGACAACCCTTTTTTGATGAGAAGCTGAGGGAGACCTGGGACTGTTTGTGCAAGGAGAATGAATATGGGAAAGGGAGGAGATTGGGAGCTGGGATGGCAGGAGATTGGATCTGAGACAATGAGCGTGTAGGGGAGACAGGACTGGCTGGTGAAGCAGACAGGAACTGAGGTAAGTCGCCTGAGTGGAGGCTAGAATTGAGTAGTCAAGGAGCATGGGCATGGGACAAGGAGCCATGGGTTGGGGAAAGAAAGGACTGGGATGGAGGGAACAGGTAGAAGCGATTGTACACTCCAGAACACAATTCCCTTCCAAAGCCTGGAAAGGAATTCAAGATTCCTGAGTCCCACCATTCCTTTGCTGTCAGTAAATATCTGTGAAACCCACTGACAAAGTGTATGTCTCACTGTAAGTGGTCTTGCTTAGTCCTGGGTCCCTGTCTGGTGCTCAGGCCTATACTTATTAGTCCAGCACCCCTTTAAGACTGGGGGGCCAGAGGGCGGGGCAGGCAAACAAATAGTTCTCAAACTCAGGTTAGCCCAGGCCTAGGTTCAAGATGGGGCTGGCAAACAAACAGTAGGTTGGCTCAAATGGAGAGGGGGAGACTGCCACCCATTATGTAGGGTAGCAGGGGGGATGCGGGCCATCCCTATTCCACCACATCCCAGCCCAAGGCCCTAGTAGTGGAAGCCTTGGCAGCCCCTGGGTCAGCAGGGAACTCAGTCTGAAGCACGCCGACCCTAGTTACAGAGTTTTTAGGTCCACCTGACCAACATCTGCTTTTCCTGGGCCACTTCTGAACTCCCCCTCTGCCAGTACCTGACTCCTCATCAGCAGCAGGTTCACAGGGTCTGGCTGCTCTACAGGTGGGGACGGGGTCCAGACAATCTCCTCTTCAGAGCCGGAACCAGGCGCACTGGGCCAGTCATCCGCCTCGGCCAGGTCTTCAGGGCTTAAGCCAGTGAGCTCGGCAAAGACCTCTGCTCCCTCCAGCAGCAGCTCACCTACTGAGCTTCTGGGCTGGGCTTTTATACTTCCTGCCTCACCCTTAGGCCTCTGTGGACATAAAGAGGCAGGCTCCGTCTCAGCGTACCTGGCCTCAGAGAGGGTTTCTTCCTCCTCTGGGTCAGTGAGCAGCCATCCCTGCTCACTACACTCACTCTCTCCATCTGGTGCTGATCCACCCAGAGGATCACAGTCTACTATTTCTGTCACAAGGGACAGAGATTGGTGCAGTGGATCCACAGGGTCCTGCCATGCTGATAACCTATTTTAAAATCAATATAATATAACATGGTGAAGTCTTTACTCAGTATATTTTTAAAGAAACATAAGAAATTACAGCGGTGGAAACCAGAAGCCCTAGAACTCCGGCAGTGATTTAAAAGGACCAAGCCCTTGCAGAACACATTCATTTTATTGAATTGGCATGTTCTGATAGGAAAAAGTTCCAATGGAAAAATCCCAAGCAGCTGTAATGAATGTGTATATTTAATAACAGTGATGTACAGGTTGCACTAGGTGCTCACTTTGTTCTCACCACGTCAGTGTTTATGGTACCCTTATTAACTGCCTCAGACCATACAGCCAACCCAGCTGCATTTTCTGATGCTAATTCTTAAAACATACATGGCTTCAAATCTTCAAAAGAACTAGGAGTGAGAAGCCATCAGAACAGTGGTGTCCAAACTTTTCATCACAGTCCCTCCACTGACCAGCACTGGAATGTGGCTATTTTCCCTAGGGCTGGGAATGGAGTATGGCTGGAACAGGGACTGGAAACAGGATCTGGCAACTGAGAGTGGATGCCAGGAGCTGGCATCTGAGTCACAGCTGAAGCCAATGCCATAGCTGTGGTTGCAGGATGGAGCCAAGGATGGGGCTGGAGTAGAGCTGGGGGCAGAGCAGGGCTGAGTGGCATTCCCTCCCCTCACACCTCCATTCGTGGGGGCTGGCCCAAGACCCGCCTGACCATTCCTCCATTCCCCTCTACAGGTGCAATCTCCACAGCTTGGAAACCACTGCACTAGAGCAACCTAGCTATGATTTGGATTGCACATACAAAAAGATGATTTAGTAAAATTTACTTTCACCTAGCTATGATGACCCAGCAGTGCCATTGGAGGTTGAAAGTCAAGAAGTGGCTCTAGGAAGAAGTTTATGTAAACTGTCAATTGCCATGAGAGGTTGTCAGTCAGTTGAAATATATATTCTGTCCCAATTTGTATAAACGTGTAAGCTATTTAGCTCACTAATGAATGAGGAATTCTATTTCATCAGAGATTATTATTTGTTGTGTTTCATGTGACTGTGCATTGTCTGATGCAATGCAATGCTCTGGATTTTCTGAAATGTGCTGGTAAATTAGCACAATTAATTGGAAAATGGTGTGTGTGTGTGTGTGTGTGTGTGAAAGAGAGAGAGAGAGATGGCAGTGTTAGAGACCTTTAAATATTGAATTAATTCATCCAGCTGGCAGTCTTCCTTATCAGGAATTCTATATCAAGCCCTATTCAAGCCTTGATACTTCAGACATTTCCATGCGGCTCTAAAAGCAGGCCTCACACAGCACTGAAGAAGAAACTTTGATGCTTAAGACTGCCAGCTGCACAGTATTAAATTTGCACACTAAAAGGGCCTGCTAACATTGAAGTCAGATAATTCTGAGTGCTAAGCACCTAGGTAAATTAAACCTTAAATATTTACTATTTATAACAGCAGTAATTGAAGTTTCTTGCAACTAATTCAATTGTTCACTTATACACCTTTTTAAAAATAATAATCAAAATTATCGTGTTTCCACAGCAAATTAATTTTCCATGTTTGATTTCTAAGGGGCATGATACTAACCTATTTTGTAGTCTTTTGATTGTATTTTCTAGCCCTTGTCGTCTCTATACCAAAATAAAAAAACAGTTTCAAAATTAATTGACTCTAGTGAAGAATTCTTGGCAAGTCCCAATGTCTATTCATGACTTACAACTGCGTAGGATGAGGGGAGCCAAGCCCTGAAAATGTCTCTACATTTCAGGAATTCTCTCTACAGAGTGTTTCCACTATAAGTCACCCCAGTATACATCCGTCCCACACTAAAATCGTGGATGCTTGTAGGAACTGATGCATTATAAGTCCTCCCATTCCCCGCTCTTAAGTTGTGCAAAAAACCCACAATTTGCACAAATGGAAGTCAGCCGTGTGGGGGGGGGGGGGAGGAAATTCCCTACTTTAAGTTGTTTCGCTATAAGTGCAAGTTTTTTGGAATGTATCTTCGACTTATAGGGAGGACAGCCTGTATAAAAATAGTCTTTTGATCATAATTTTGTATTTTAACTGATCACATTAGCAGTTTTCTTGGCTAATATATTGATTGTAAGGCATCAGTCCTGCTGATCTGATAACACATCACCATCATAACATAAGAAAAGAAATGTTTAGTCTTCTTGGCAACTAAGTGCAAATGCTTTCCAGAATATTGCTTTGAGTAGAATGAATGGCTTTGGGCCAGAGACTAATTAGAGTAAAGGGCTGTGCTTGTGAATATGTATGTATAGTAATGTTTACCCTACTATTATTAAAACCACACCATATACTTCTACAAATAAGGCTGTGGTTCAGATGGATGTGATAGTCCTTCTGTGGATGATATACTATACTAAGTATTTGTGCTTTAGTGAAACAAATAGCTTAACCACACACATTACCAAATGCACTCCTTGTATAGGACAGCTGTGGAAGGAAATGCAGATGGAAGTAATCTGTTCAACTTAGACTCAACAGACTTAGTAACGATAATAAATATAGATAAAACTTGGAAAATGTTGCTTGCTGTGAGGATTTACAGTATTTAAAATTGCTCAGATTCTGACAATGCTAATCAAACTCTTTTCGCCTGCATAGCAATTGCTGAGTATACAAGAAGAATTAAATAATAAAAAATCTGAACTGGAGCAAGCAAAAGAAGAGCAAACGCATACACAAGCAAGACTTAAAGTTCTTCAGGAGCAGGTGAGTGTTTACACTGAAAATAATCCTTATTTAGGACTGCACTGGAGGGCCTGATCCTGCACCTTTAAAATCAGTAGGAGTTTGGCCATTGACTTCATTGCGATCAGGATATGATCTTACGTGTGTAATCTACTTCGAATATATAAAGGTTAGTTGAAGTTAATTGATAGGATAGCTTGGGAAAACATTACCGAAGTAAAATTGAACTCTGCCAGTTTTGCAATATCAGATATTTAATCTCGCATCTTGTATAACATTTTCTGTTATGTTCCTCCGCACAGATACCAGTGATGTGTGAATGTTTTCTATCTGAAGACAAATGAATTTTGGGAGAGTTAAATATGCCAGCAAAGCAAACATATTTCAGAAAACCCCAGCCATTTCTTTTAAGACTAGTAGTGGGGAAAATGAGTTTAGCATCTCCTGTATTATTCATGCAGACACATGTATACAAAGGACTGAATCATGATGACATTAAAAAAAAATCCCCAGTGCATCAGTGCACTTATCTAACTGTGGTGAGAAGAAAACCTTTTATACACTCTGCAAATCTGATCGTTTCATTTTTGTTTTCATTGATACTGAAGTGCTGTATGACATTGATAAGTGTATTTGAAAGTATGGTCTAATATGCAAGCAAGATGGATAGTTTCACAGCAAAGAAAGATCCGTAGTACTGGAGATGAAATAATGTATTGTTTGCACACACAGAGTATACAAATAAATGTTGTGTGTCAACAATTTGATTGTGGAGACAGCAGTCACATCTCCATAGTTTGGCTGAAGTAGGCCAGGGACTGATTTTATGGTTAAGAATAGCCGTACTGTGTCAAACCAAAGTTCCAGCTAGCACAGTATCCTGTCTGCTGACAGTGGCCAATATCAGATGCCTCAGAGGGAGTGAACACAACAGGTAATCATCACGTGATCCCTCTCCTGTCATCCATTTACAGACAAACAGAGGCTGAGAACCCCATTCCTACCCATCCTGGCTAATAGCCATTGATGGACCTAATCTCCATGAATTTATCTAGCTCTTTTTTGAAGTCCTAGTTCTTCACAACATCCTCTGACAAGGAGTTCCACAGGTTTGTTTTAAACCTGCTACCTATTAATTTTGTTTGGTGACCCCTAGTTCTTATATTATGGGAACAAGTAAATAACTTTTCTTTATTCACTTTTTCCATGCTAGTCATGATTTCATAGACCTCTATCGTATCACCCCTTAGCCTCATTTTTTCTAAGCTGAAAAGTCCAAGTCTTTTTAATCTTTCTTCATATGGGACCTGTTCCAAACCCCTAATCATTTTTGTTGCCCTTCTCTGAATCTTTTCCAATGCCAATATATCTTTTTTGAGATGAGGTAACCACATCTGTACACAGAATTCAAGATTTGGGCATACCATGGTGTAGCGGGGTTCCTGCTCCACCACAGTGCCCCTGCCGTCTGTTCGGGGAATTATATCTGCCGGCAGGTGGCGCGGTCTTTTCAGGACACTGCCCTCCGGCAATGTCCACAATAGCCTGAGCTTTTCCCCCCTTCCGGGGGGAGGGGACAGTTAGTTGTAGGTCGGCAGGCCTTTAGGAGGCGGTTCCTCCGCCCTGGTACAATGGGTGGCTAGTCCGCCCTATGGCCCTACCGTGCGTTAACATAGTCCGAGTCTATGAGTCTCTCCGGCCTTATCTCAGGTCGGGATGAGAGACAATAGTTCAGGGGCCCGGCCTTGCTTCAGGCCCGGGCCATGGGGGAAGAAGTTATATTCAAGTCTCTTAACTCAGCTAGGGCAGGGCAACAGTCCTAGTCCTGGCCCTTTAAAAGGTCCGGTCCGGATTCTGGGGCCGGCCTAGCTAGTTCACTGGGCGTGCTCCCGCCTTTAGTTCGGGGTGTGCCCGCAAGCGAACCCAATCAATTTCAAGCAGGGGCCAGGCCCTCAGTTCAGGGCGTGGCAACAAACACTCAGTCAGGGAGCTCCTTGTTCAGAAGGGGTGCAGGCAGATCGCCTGTAGCAGGGGGGAGGGAGGGAGACTGCCACCCAACCGGTGGGTGACAGGGGGGGCGCAGGCCCACCCACTCCACTGCGCCCCGGCCCAGGGGCCCTGGATGCAGCAGTTCAGCTGCTACGGGCTCAGCAGGGGCTCCAGCCCGCAACTTGCTGGCCTAGGGCTGTTCTCAGCCCATGCTACCCCCTGGGCCACTTTTGTCTCCCCCTTTGCTGGTACCTGTACCTCCAGCAGGTCTGTCAGGGAGTTGAAGCGCTGTCGTCCCCGCAGTGTCCGGTCGGCCCAATCCAGGGGGTTAAGGGGTTGGAACTCTGCAGTGTCCCGCGGGCTCGACTGGCCCCGGCGTTCCAGTACCCATCGGGGTTCCAGCTGGTCCGGCGGCTCGGGCCAGTCCTCTGGGTCCACAGGAGGTTCGGCTGGCTGGCTTGGCCAGGCCTCCGTAGCCCTGGCAGGGAAGCCTTGGCTGGCCTCCGGGGAGGCCGCTGAGGGCTGTCTAGGCCCGGTCTTAGCCTCCCCGGGCAAGAGCTCTGGATAGGCCTCTGTCTCCCTCAAAGGCTGGGCCCTGACTGAGCTCCCTGGCGGCCCTCTTATACTCCTAGCCCCGCCCTTTGACTTCCGGTCAGGTGAGGGGGCGGGCTAGACTGGGCCCAAAATGGCTCCCTGAGGGGTTTCTCTGCCTCTGGCTCAGTGGGTGGCCATTCTACCCCACTACACATGGTTTAATATAGAGCCAAAAAGATATTCTCTAAGGGTATGTCTACACTACCCTCCTAGTTCGAACTAGGAGGGTAATGTAGGCATACCGCACTTGCAAATGAAGCCCGGGATTTGAATTTCCCGGGCTTCATTTGCATAAGCGGGGAGCCGCCATTTTTAAAACCCCGCTGGTTCGAACCCCGTGCAGCGCGGCTACACGGGGCACGAACTAGGTAGTTCGAACTAGGCTTCCTAGTTCGAACTACGGTTACTCCTCGTGAAATGATTTCCCAACATTCTGTTTGCTTTTTTGACTTCTACTGCACACTGAGTGGATGTTTTCAAAGAACTATCCACAATGACTCCCAAGATCTTGCTCTTGAGTAGTTGAAGCTAAACTAGTTTCCATCATATTGTATGGATAGTTGGGATTATTTTTTCCAATTTGCATTACTTTACATTTGTCAACATTAAATTTCATTTGACATTTTGTTGCCCAATCGCTTTGGTGAGATCTTTTTGAAGCTCTTCACAATCTGCTTTGGTCTTAACTATCTTGAGCAGTTTAGTATCAGAAGTGTACAATCTAAATTGTTTAGATGGCAAGGATTCAAAAGGGATATGGTTTTCCCAATTTTAAAATATTCTCCTGAATTTGTGAATGTTTTTATATTTGTGTAGTTATGCATATTAGACATTTGTCATCCGGTGTATTTGGCACAAATATACTTTTACAATCGTCAATCCAGATTCTGCAAAATAAAGTTTTCACTTAAATATTTCTGGTGCTTACAGTTGCAAAGATAACCTTCTAAATGTGAATTGATGTAGCACCAGCTTTGACAAAGCACCGGGTCTGAGGAAGAATGGAATTGATTGCAGCATTTTGGCACCTAAAACTTCAGATGAAAAATGGGCTATGTTATCAGACATATAGGAAGATCTTACAATCAGACAATCACCATAGTGCAAGTAGGGGTTTTCATTGCAAATACCTGTGACAAATTAAATATTGAACACTGGGGCAGAGTCAAATCAATACGAACATTTAACACCAAATAAAAGCACAGGGACTACTGAACTGATTGTGTTATTAATTTCTGTTTTACATTCAGCAAAGCACACTATTTTTAAAAGTTAATTTGAAGCTGAGGCAGAATTTCCAGCCTGTTGCACTGAAGTGCCACTAAGTGCAACAAAAGATTCTTCTTAGCACAGTATTTTGATCCAGATGGGCTTTGTTTGTGCATTTTTTACATGTGGATTGCCTGTAGAATGTGAATGATTCTATAGAAGAACCCAACCTGCCAACATTGAAAGTTCATGAAGGGCTGTCCCTTGGCAATTGTTGGCTGTAGTTCAGTGCAATGAGTCAGCATGCTCTTTGCTGGTAATCACACTTGCCACTGAACAGGGTTGGGGGCTGCCTTTGGGATGGAGCAGCTCCTCTCTTTTCCAATTTTGGATGGTTTTCCAAGGATTCTGTTACTAAATTATCCCATTTAGAATATAAGATAAGAATGTAATTTAAACTTAAAACCCAGTATTGGAGAAAGGGTGCTCCCCTTTGTATGTCTGAATCCAGGCATTTTTTCCTTATTTTTTTCTAACATTGCTACCCCCAGTGCAGTGGTAGGAGTTTTAGTGTAACAAGGCACCAGCATTTTATCCTCTGTGCTATCTAACCCTACTCAGAGCAGATGGCACAGAGGTGAAAATGACAGCAACTGCCTGTGCTGCGGTTATAGTAGAGTTACTACCATGGGGTCAGTCCCGCCAACGGGCTAGGGGAAAAGGGGGAATTCAAAAGGCACTGCGGCCCCTGGCTGTTGCTGCCACTCCTTGAGGAGCAGCAGTGGCCAGAGCCCCGGTCTCTTTTGAATCGCTGCCAGAACCCTGCATCATGCACATTGGGCAGCTCTGAGGGCTGGCTGGGAGGGGCACAGCACACCGTGGGCACTGCTGAGGGACAGCTGCCCCCAGCCCTATCCTTTCTGCCCAAGGCTCCACCCCACATCTTGCTCAGGAGCTCAGCAAGTCTGTTGCTCACACACACACAAACACACACACACACACACGGGGTGGAAAGTATTTTTGGGGAAAAGTCTACATTTAGCTAAAGATATATTCCACTC